GCAAGTAAGGCAGAGTTGGGTCCTAGGGCTATCTTCCCTTTCAGTATCAGGAATGACAAGAAGTAAATGTAACCGTAGCATTTTTATTTCTTATATTTCAATTTTCAAGTAATGTGGAAGTAAAAAGTATAGGTGAGGACTCGTAATTACAAATCTCTCCCCACTCCATACACCCACACCCCACCCCCCACCCCCAATTCTGCATTTCCAGGTCACTCCAGGAGACAGGCTGGTCTACCATGATTTAATTAGGTAAGCATGATGCAGGTTTTAGTACTGGTCTAGAATTCCTTTTTACCACCAAGGAGACAAAGTATCTGTATTACGTATCTGTCTGGTTTAGATTTTGATCTTCTACCCCCACATTATTGAGGTATTAAACAATCTTTAGAGCATTTAATCACTCAGACCCCATGGGAGTAAGATGATCTCTACCCCCTTTACAGATAACACACCAGGTTCAAAGACACTTTGTTTCTTGCATCTAGGCAATAAGGAAATACTTGAAAGGACAAAACCAGAATTGATAATTCTGTTAATAAACACTGCAGAGAGTGATCTTCACCCTTTTGTAATGTGTACACCTTCAAGTGTCTTTACAGAGATGCAGATCTCTGTTTAGTGACTTTAAACTTAATTACGAGAGGCTTCCTTTTGCTAGTTACCATTCCCAGACTCTTTAGTCTGGGAAACCACAGGCCGAACACCTCTGCTCTACAACTTCAGCAGAGATTCTTCAGATCCAGGGAATCTGCTTTGGAAATTGCCCCTGCAAGCTACCTGCAGGCTTAACAGCAATCTACATCTTGTGAACTTGTCCCCAGCGGCTGAGGTAGGCTAGGTCTCAGCTTTGCTCAGATCCCTGAGAGTTTTACCATCAGTCAGCCAACAAAAAAAGCACTGCAAGCCAACAGCCTTCGTCTCACGGTCTCTGGAGGCTAGAATTTATGTATTTAATTATCTCTCACTTGTCCTCAACAGACTGTATGATGCCTCAGTACTGGGTGCCAGTCACGGCACTGATACACTGACTAACAAATCTCTGTGGTATCTGCCTCTTGGCTAGACATCAGTGAACAATTCAGAGTGAATAATACATCTCATAAATCATTCCTCTTTTGCTGGCCCTATATTGTGTACGGACAATCCCATTTTCTCAAAGGTGTCGTTATCCCTAAATATTTGCCAAATATATTCTGCTCATTAGTTTTGTTCTGTAAACTATTCCCAAGTAATTCTTCCTTGCGATTCCTAATACCCCAGCTGCACCGCTTAATTTTGGCTTGGCATCACAACCCTATAAGAAATTGTCCATCTTTCCCAGCTGGTTGGAAAGTGGCTCTTCTCATTTGTCACACGGTAACTCCTGAGGGCCATTTTCATAATCAGGACCCCAACGTGTTAAGCCGTGTACGAAAAGTATGCTTTCACAGCACCCTGTGGCGAGCAGAAGTGCCCTAGTGTTAAAAGGAGAACACCTCTGTCCCAAACAGATTACAGATGACATGTTGGAAGGGGTTCAGCAATGAAAGCAAGGCACTGGTGTGTACTTAGGGACGCGGCGTGGCGGATGGAAGAAAGGGCTGTCAGAGACTGCAGCTGCATTTCCAGTGCTCTGTGCAAGCTGTGGTAGTTCCACCACCCATGTCCTCCACCCACCCCTTAAAGCCCGAGATACTCAGAAAAGAGATCCTCAGGTCCTGCTAGAGCGCACGGCCTCGCCCTGGGGTCCGCAAACACGCTGGGACTCAGAAGTGGGTCTCACGTCAGGGGAGAGGATTCATTTGCACCGAACCTCCGGCTGTCGGTGGGACACCCTGAGCTTGGAGCCCTGCGATTCCCTGGGGGGGCAGTGCGAGAGAGGGGCCCCCCCAAGAGAGGATCCACGCCAGAGGTGGGACAGCTTGCCTTGTGCAGGAATCCCACGTCCTGAGGAGACCTACAGTCGCCGTGTGGGCGCTCGGGGCTAGGGGGTGTCCATCTGTTTCCAAGTCTGCATTCCTTCCTCATCATCCACATCCTTTCCTCTTCCACATCGCTGTTTCCACATTTGGATCTAGGGGGTTTTTGTGCATATATATATATATATATATTTTTTTTTCCCCCTTACAAAAACAGTGTCAAAATCTTATTTGACCATCAGTCAAATGCCTCTGTCTCTGAGTGAGCAATTGTATGCAACCTGGGAGCACTAAGCACACAGCTTTTAAACTAATAAACCTTTTAAATTGAGTATTTACTATAAATATTTGTTAGAAGAAGTCACTTGCAAATACTTAACGAGTATACTCTAAGGGCATGGTTTCTTTTGTCTGCTTCAGAGAAACAGCTGAAGGAACAGTTCCCCAAAACATAAGATTTCTCAGCTAGGTCCTTCAAACATTATCACTAGGATGATGCTAATGAGATATTTATATGGTAAAAGTGAGACTCACTGGAACTAAAAAACAACAAAAAAAAAGTAGCTAGCAAGTAAAACAATACTAATTTTAAATACTGAAGTTGTTGATTAAAATAAGAGTTATTTTCATGGGATCAAAGCACATGATTATGGAAAAATGAGCAGATTTTAATTTGTACAGAACAGGAAGATCTGTTCGTATAAACAAAGAGAAAAGTGACCACTGCAAGAGCTAAACACTTGAAATGCTGTCAAAAACATACATCAGGGTAAGTAAAGCTAGTCCTAAACAGCCAGCACTCTGAACATAATTTAAAGTAATATTTACACTAAGCTGATAATGCCAGGTTTTATCTTGCAGAATGGCACTGGTTTTTTGTTCAGACAAGACCACAGGCGAACAAGGCCTACCTGTGTCCCAAACAAAATACACTATTGGAACTGCCAGCAACCTCATCCCTAAGCTCAGAACCAAAGTAGACCACTGCAAAATGGTGAATATAAATTAATTTTGAGTGGCTAAGACCGTTTCTGGAATTGAATAAACCAGGCTGCTTTCTCGTGACTCATTTTTGCCTGAACTATTGCCGTTTCCATGTCTTTGTCACCCTCCCGCTGTGCGTGCTTGCCAGGCACTGTGGTTGGAAGAGCAAGATTGCATCTCCGCTTTCCGCTGCAGAGAGCCCTCCTAACAGCCACTGGAGCACGAACACACTTTCGGTTCAGTAAAGAGACCAGCATCACCACTACTCTGGCCCTCTGCTAGCCCAGGATTGCACAACGGGGATGAAGAACGCCTCTGAGATGAAGCAGTGCAGCCTTTCTATTAGTCGTTTTAGCCTGACTGAGGACTGAAGTCCTACAGTTTATAAACCTAAAGGGGATTTGAACTTCCTCCTGCAGAGATTAATCAAAACTGAAATGAAGAGTAAAGTGGCAACGGGACTCAGCAGTAAGCTGCATTTGCCAGCAGTCCACTTCCAGTAAGGAGGACCAGAGAGTTATTTAAAGCTGTGATCACAGATAATTACCGTGTTGAGCAGCAAGAGTAAAGCCGATGCTTATTCTTCTCACTCTTACATCATCCACTTTTAATTACCTTTTAGAAATGGAATACTAGAAGAAACCAAAGCTCTTTTTTTTTTTCCTGTGAACATCTGAAAAGATCAGACAGCTCAGCTCTACTTAGCCCCCAGTGGGACCTCAGGGCCTATTTCTTCTCAGCAAACTTGAAAATCCCAACCTAATTATTATGGGACATGTCTCTGGTGCTGCTGGCTGCCAGAGAGCTAATGCAGAGATACATTTAGAGCAACAGGGGTTTCTATCAGCTGAGGATTTGCACACATACATATTTGACAAACATCTCCTGACAGATGTGTCATAGCACCGACGATTCTCAAACACTTGAAAGAAGAAAAAGGTGTAAAGACAAAGAACCTTATAACCCAAGCGATATATAATTCTTCTACAAGAAGTAATATACATCCTGGCACAAACTTAACTTTGATCTAAAAGAAATAATAATCTTTCCTCAGCAGTCTCCAGAGCCATCTTTTAAAGATACCACAAACACTTGTTATATTTTAAAGGCATTTCACGTAACTGGAGTTTTCCCCCACTGTTTCCCCTTTGAATACACAGATCAGGGCTCAGCAGGTACCTTGCTAAAGGCTGATTCAGAAAACAGGAGAAGCAGGTTATTACCTTCCTGGAGGAAAATGCATCTGCCTCTGTGATAGGGGACCACTGCTAAACCACAGCACACCAGAGCCTCCCCCGGCCACCTTTGGCCTCAGTGAGCACAACACAAGCAATAGTGCTTGTGCAAACCATACGCCCTACTTAGAAAAATAATACTGAATTTCTTTAATCTCTTTTTAACTTATTGTGCACACCCAGATCATGTTTCAACAATCGTATATGGGACCTTAAATCCACACTATTTAACAAACTGCAGGGAAGGGATCTCAGCAGTCCCAATTCGGTGAACATTTTCAGGCTGTAAAAGCCAATATCATGTCTTGAGTGCCAGCAACACTCCCAACAGACACTTCTTTATTAACTTCACTGGCTGCCCCTTATCTCCAACCCTTGTGGTGAGCACCATGTTAGGGATATTTGCGTTTCTTCTTTCCCTGCCTTACATGATGGAGTTCCCCGTTCCGGCCTGCCGCTCACAAAAGTTTACTGGGCCTTATTTGATCGCACAGGGCCGTCCCCCCGGATCCAACCCCCTTTTCCCCAGCACCCTGTGGCACTGGCACCAAGCAGGAGGCAAGGCGTGGGCTTTTTCTGGAGACAAGCACACGAGTGGGCTGGTCTTTATGTGTGTCACCAGCCCGGTGCTGCTGGAGCCCTCGGCCATTGCCCAACCCCATCAGGCCACAAACTGCTATCTCCTTTTCATTAGGATTCAAAAACTTGAAATTTCAAGGAGCTTCGTATGTTTGACACTTCTATCTCTCTGGCAAATTTAAGGGAAAGCAGAAAATGAGTTCAAAAGTTATTAAGAGCCAAAAGATACAGGCAAGCTGCACGGTCACAACCATCTCACTTCACTACGAAGTAAAAGTAACAAACCTTGCAAAAACCTTACCAAAATCCGGGGGATTATAGAAAAAAGGGCAGGTAAAAGTCTGTGGCGATTTCATCAAAGTTCCCCAATGGGTTTCCAGCACGGCAAGCGCGATCCAGCCTGGCCCTCCTGGGCGTTGCGACAGCGGCTCGGCGCGGCTGGCAGCACGAGCAAGTCCGGCGCGAAGAGAAACCAGTGGCTTCCTCCTTACTCACATCGGAGGCTGCACAGGATTTCCTCTCTGCCTCCTACCGCGTGGTACAAGTGAAAGAGGGGATGACAATCTAAAGATATATCAACCCAGATTTAAAAAAAAAAAAAAAAAAAAAAAAAATAAAATAAAACCAGCGCGTCATGCTGCCACTGTTTGCAAGGTAGGTAAGATTTAAATAGTTATAATCCTCAAACTAACGTCTAGTTCAGGTCATCAACTAACAAGCTGGTTAATTCCTGTAAGGATTAATGCTTGAAATTATTATGCCTGACAGATGTGTGCTGAACAGGGATTAGTCCAGAACACGCAGCACGAAAACCAGCAAGAGGTAAAAGTGCAGACAGGTACATGTCAGAGCGGAGATTTTTAGAAATCATTAGCTCAACTTCTAACATAATTATAATTTTCCTTTCTACCCACTTTATCTTCCATTTCTTTTTTACTCTCAGCTTTCTAGCAGGACATTCCCTTCACAGACTGACACACTAATCTATATTCTGCTCTCAGATACAACCGTGCAATGTGGAAGAGAGCTTAGCTGATATTTTCGGGCAATACTACTGCTGCACAATGTGGCTGAATGGAATATACTTTGTAGGCGTTGGCTGTCTCTCGTAATGGAGCACATGATGAATTCTCCATTCCTGATTCCCCGAAACTATTGGAAAACATAAAGCAGCATTTTCTCTCAATTAATTATAATCCTGCTGGGTACGTCTGCTGTTAAGACATTCAGTGAAACCCACTGGTTTGGTCTACCCACTCACTACCATTTGCATCATCCTAATGGTGTAAATCTACTTCATACACTCCAGGACCAAACCAGATCCCACTTACACTCAAGCTAGTTTAAATCCAAAGCAAGTCCATATGGCCAACAATCTCTCTAGTTTTACAGTTGCTATGTATCATAATTTGTACAATGAGCAGCATTTCTAGCGTTACAATAAAAGAAGGAAAGGTGGAGGAATCCGTGAAAACAAAACATGGGGAAAAAAAAGTTCATTCAAATTCTCCTTCCAAATTGGAAGTTACAAACAGGGATAAAACTATGAACCACTCCACCCATTTCATAATCAGGCAGCACAAGTAAACAGCATGGGGAAAAACTGAAGAAAGGAACAAAGATGGGGTGAAAATAGAGGCGGAACAGCAGCAGTGGAACAGAAACTGTTGATCAAGCTAACCCTGTGAAGTTGCTAGTACAGAGGATTAACTGAAGACCAGTAGCCTTGGCTTGGCTGTGACCCCCATGTGCCATGGTGACCCCAGTGCATCCAACTGAACACAGAATTTTGCCACCAATGGTGAAAAACAAGCAAACAAACAAAACCAAACAAGGGACAGAAGAGTCAACACTGTCAGTACCTCTAGAGTTGGAACTGATACACCAGCTATTTTCTGATGTCATGTTAGCCTTCTGCTAACATAAATAATCCTTAGAAACGATAAGAACATCTCAACACACATCAGCCTGCAGACTAAAACATACAGTGCCTAGGAGAATGCAAAATGGAGAGCAGTCCATTTATCTGAAAGTCAAATCCGGGTTGTTTTAGGACTGTGCTGCTGTTTGAACAGTGGAATTAAGAATAGCTATAAAGGAACCCCTTCACACGGTTTTTCCCTGTTTTCTCTCTCCTGTGGTAAATCTCATAGTGACTGTAAATTTGCCTTAGTCCTGTTAGAAAAAAAAAAAAAAAAAAGGACTGACATGACACTACTGGTACTGAGGAAGCAGAGCATATATGGCTAACATCAGCTATACACAGCAGCTTTCTTAAACACATTAAAAAGTGGTCTCTCTGGATGACTAACTTAGAAGGCAAAGGAGCCCAGCAGCTACGCTGGTGAGTACAGACAGCCACAACCTGGAGGCAGCAATGAATGGATCAAACTAACAGTCAGAAATGTAGCATTCCCCATAAAACTTCCAGTAAGTTAGTATCACAACTTATTTCACATATATAAATCCTAGATTACCACTTAAGCATAATTCCCTTTAGACCAAATTTGATTTCACATTTTTCCATATTTTAAAAGGAAACTGCAATTTCAGCAAAATATTCCAGATGTTCCCACAACATCTAACATGCCATTCCCTTCTTTCCCATACAAAGAACACTATTTTCACTTTCAGCGAGGAATGGAGCAGTGTTTTTTTCCACTCTTCAGGCCAACTATCATTTCTGTTGTGGTAGTGGAAAGCATCTGAACGGCCCCTTCTTTAGCCTGACATCTCTATGTTCACATATGGATTCAATTAACGTCTTGAAGAAAACCAGTTGGATGATCTTAGATTGTCTGACAGCCTATAGGCACTGCAAAAGGAAACTTTTCTGCAAACCCAGTGACTACACTGCCTGACTGAGTAACCTACTGTTCTTAAGTGATGCTCTGGACAGACTGGCCTTGTCGCCCACTAATCATCCGCATCTTTGAACAGCCAGTGATGTATCAGGACCACTAAGTGTTTAAGAGACAGCAGTTATCGTCCCAGTAGGGTTACAAGGGTTATCAATTATAAAGCGTTGTCTGAGTTTTGACAAAGAAACCCCTCAGGTAGAAAACAGAGCAGCAGTATTAAAAATTTTCTTCCAAGACAACCATTACAACTGCGTTGTATATTCTTACTACTCTGCAGAGCCTCGAGTCCTAGCTGTGAACTGCACCATGCTGCAGGTAGCAGGTGTAGAGCAGCAGTGGCATCCCCGACTCACCGAGGTTCCTGCTGAGGCAGAATATGGATAGAGACAAGAGGGGACACACATAGCAGCAACGAGGCAGCATGAGGCAGCACAAAAAGCCACAGGCAGAGCCGCTGCCTAACCACGGTCAAATTTCCATGGCTATTGCAGCAAAAGAGTTTTAAGGAGGAATCTGAGAGATGGTCATGATGTGGATTTGGGAAGGATGACGTGTGAGGACAAGACTGGGAGAGAACAAGCATGAAAGTGCTTAGGGTGAAAGTCTTCATGGAGGTTGGGATGATAGGCTGGTCAGATGTGGAAGCTGCTCTCTCTGGAACAAAGGAAACGCAGTTTGCAGATCTACGGGAATCAAAATGACCATCTTGTGGGAAAGATCACATTTCTAACTCTATTTTAATTCTGAATTAGAATAATATTTGTATAAAGAGACTGTCCATGCAATTGCTACTCCCCGAAGAATCTGGCATGGAATTGCTGTGACAGGGCTTTTCAGAGAAGGTACACCCACACCAAGCATGCAGGTTGTCCTAAGTACTGGGCTTGGAGGTAACTGGTGGAGGTGGCACAGACAGGTGTCAAGTTCTTGGTCTCTCTGGTACAATTTCGCTGTGTAAATAATGACTCACTATGCAGAACCTAATCATTAGGCATAGCCTAATGATTCAGGTGGCCCACCTGCAAGCTGAGCATCTGAAAGATCAGGCTGAGGTAGTCATTATGCTCTGTCCTATTTAACAAGAAAAAAAAAAAAAAAAAGTATTTTGACTTTGTCAGTTAGCATTAAAAAAAAAAAAAACAAAAAAAAAACACAACAAAAGCAAACAAACAACAAAAAAAAAACCACACACAAAACCAAACTCTGAAAAATGTCAGATCTGATTTGAGCAAGACTAAAAGAACGAAGATGTGGGTTAGCTGCTGGTATAGTAGCCTAACTGAAAAAAAGCTCTATTTGCAAATCCCAAACTAAGGTGTAACCTGCTAGTAACAATAACCTAAAAGCACTTCACAAATACCATAGTGATAGATGACACAGGAAGGGCGTGCTATAGAAAACAATTACACGTGGAGCACTGAAGCAGCCTGTTAACATCCAGGTGAATTCCTCAGCACTAATTACAACTATTCAACACCAGCAGGGCTTAAAAAAAAAAAAAAAAAAAAAAAAAAAAAAAAAAAAAAAAGCCATGACTTTGAAGTACTGGAATTAAATGTGTTTGTGTAATTACTTACAACAATGTTTTTTATAAACACCTTCAGCTCTTTCATCAGGCAGCAAATGTTACTTCGCTCTGCAGACCAGAATGACAGTACCAGCCCTCCTCCATCATTACGTATTCTCCCAATACACAGTAGCTAGACAAGTGAACTGCTGAGGGGAAAAATAAATTAATGCTGAAGGCAAGAGTATCTTTCGGGCTGCTGGCAGCCCCATCCCCAGCGCTCCCCAGGTAACTGCCATGAGGTGGGCACGGCGTACGAGCGCCGTGACCGAGGATGCCTCTGAGGGACTGACTGAAGCAGGGCAATTTGTTGCAAACGGACAGATATTCCTGCTTGCCTTCTACAGCACTGGAGAAGGGGCACGGTGTTGCAGGCGAGACGGGGATGTGGGCAGTGAGGTCTCGGCTGATGGGAGGTGATGGAAGCTGGCCGGGCTGTGGAGAGCTGGAGGTGGCACAGCTCTGGCTGCCTCGCACACCCTGGGGTGCAGGCAATGCCGCGGACACGCTCCTGCTCCCTCGCCTCCTGGCACTCACATCCTCTCCCCGCTGTACCATCATTCGCTTTCTTTCCTCTTCTTTGTCGCCCCAATTATTAATTTATTGATTCTATACTTATCCCTGAGCTTCTCTCAGGGCAGGGAACGATCATTTTGGGGATCTCTGTAACGGGGCCGTTTTTCCGACAAGGACTTTTAGTTCTGGACCAAGAGCTTGCTGCCAATGGCACTGCCTTCCAACTGAAGCGCTGCAGAGGAGAAGCAGTCATACCCAGGGTTGGATTTGAGAAAATCTGGGTAAAGAAATGCCGGGGTTTGAACCCAATAATTCTACACTGAAAGTGTCTTAAAAAAATTAAGTGGCAACTAGGGAACAAGGACATGAGGAGAGGGGGAGAAGTTCTGCAAGACAGGAATTTGAAGCTCGTAGATTAAAAAAAAACCAACCCAAACCAAAAGAAAACCACACCAGAAACAGAGAAACTTGATTTTTTTTCCTTTCTTTTAGCCTGAAGGCATTTTCTGTAGATCAGTATCTCACACCAGCATCATGCCTCCACTGACAGAACAACTAATGAAGTTGACAGGTCCATAATCTGAGAAT